GAATTAGTATGGGAGTGTGTGAGTTGCACACACTCTGCTACTTCCGGTCTGTAGAGTCGGGGTAGATTACACTTATATTTAATCAACAAGTATAGACTTACAGCTATTATTAGAATGACAATAATATAAACTATAATAAAATGATGGTCTGGATTTACAAATATTTTGGTATCGTTGTACAATTTAGATAATTCTTTCAGTTTTTCAGCATCTTCAGCTAACTGATTAAAATTTTTGAAATATTTATTAGTATAAATTTGCTCGGGAACATGACTGTTAATTATTTCCGGTATTTTTAATAATGCGTGTAGATTCGGATTTTCTGGAACGAAATCGACAGAGAACGAGGGTTCTCGATGGTGTTAAGATCAGATTTTCTGTATATATGACGCAATTATCGGAAATTTGAATTTTTCCTGTACCTGTGAGTAGGATTCTGCTAGAGTTTTGTGCGCATGTTACTGTCACTGCCTGCGAACTGCAATAATATAACCACGCGTTTTGCAGATAAAGCTTATGCCAGATTGTAGTATTTAGTGTCAGATATTTGAAATTACACGCTCCTATCGTTTGATATGGGGAATTGTACAAAGATACCTCACAATTTTCCTGATGTATAAATTTACTGATAGCCTCAGGATTTACACATAACCTAAAAGAGAACAATGTTTCACATTTTTCATACTGATCGTCGGTTAGACTGAAATGATATTCGTTAGTATCGCTTATTGCCAAGTACTGAGCTTGTGGTTCAATGATTACTATATTGCCTTTATTTGTAGGTATCGGAAGTGGAATATTATGAAACAGGTTAAACCGAAGGTTTGACAATAAGGGTATACGGGTCACAAATACGAGATTCTGTTGGATGTACACTACGCTTAACTTGGATGTTCGGAATAATTCAGGAATAGATAAATGAGATTCAGTTATAGGTAGCTCTAGTGTAGACGGTAATGTCAGTTGTATTTGCTTAAGTTCGTGAATCAATTGAGATGGGGGGTAGACATTTGTATGCATCAATCCATTTAATGCTGAGTTAACAATGGATTGGAGGTTTTGAGTTTCCCAAGCGAATTGGTTTAGAAAAACTGTCAATATTGCAGTGTGCTCCAGGAAGGTGTTTTGTATTTCCAATACATTGATTGTTGCTTCAGAACGCCTGGATTGTTCTTCTATTTTGTTTATATTCTCCTGCAATTTCTGATCATCTGCTAGTAGTTCATGCATGGTAGAATTAACATTATTCATGACTGAAGAGACTATGCGTATTTGTTCCTGTGATAGATGAACATGATTATCCTCGGAACGAGCTAGGTCTTCGATGTTTTTGTAAAAGAATTCTGCATCCTGATCAGAGCAAATTCCAAAAAGAATGTTTGCTAGCCTTCCTACTGCATTTATCAACCCGCGAGGTTGTCGATTCATATGTTCAGAGGTTCTGTGGTTTGACCCGAGGATTCGTATGACAGAATTGAAATTTGATTCAATTTCTTGCATGAACGGAAACGTGGATTGTATGAAATCCGTACACGCGCTAGTTAAGATCGAGTCCTCTCTTTTTTTCAGTTGAATACAAACGTCGCCCGTCTGTTCATGGAATTTCTGGAGTATTTGGTACTTCATGTAATAAGTTGTCAGATTCACATAAGTGACGAAATCCCAATTTGTGTAAGATATGCGAAGAGGTCCCATTGCTTCAAAGTATAAGCCTGATGAGTTTTGGAATGAAGTAACTTGAAAACGTCCGCTCTGTGAGTTTGAAAGTTCACAACATATCAGTGAGGTTCTGAAACACAATTTAGATTTCATTCATGAAATTTCTTCAAGAGATTTTTGTGCAATTTTACATGTTTATTTTTTTTTAATATGGTCACATTCGGAGAGTCTGCATTAGTTTCCACCACTGTGAATGGCCCTAACCACTTAGGTGCTAATTTTCCTTTACTTGTTTTTTCTTGCACTATGACTTTATCACCTTCGTTGATTTGCAAAGGCACAGCTGTACGATCATATCGCTCCTGCGATTTCTGTTTTGATTTCATCTGTTGCTCTGTTACCATCTGATGCGTTTCTTGCATAAGACGTTTCATTTCGTACTGGTAATCTTGATAGTTATATTGAGGTTCTGGCTTGCGACTTAGTGAATTTGGTATTGATAACGGATATCCGTATACGATTTCATGTGGTTGAAACCCTGTGGAGGTGTGTACTGAAGAATTATGACAGTACATTGCATAAGGAACATGTACATCCCAGTTTTGAGGGTTTTTTCCAGAGTAGTTCTGCAAATATTCACCAAGGGTTCTATGACTTCTCTCTAGACTACCATTACTCTGAGGATGATACGGAGTAGTTGATGTTTGAGAGATATTTAAGAGTTTGCATACTTCTTTGAAAACCTTACTAAGGAATTCAGTTCCACAGTCCGTCACTAGAGATTCAGGTTGCCCATGCAGACATACAAATTGAGTAACAAAATGTTGTGCGACGGTGTTTGCTTCATGATCCTTCATGGCACATGCCCATGTGAACTTTGAAAAGTCGTTGATCAAAGCTAAAATATATGAATTTCCGTGGTAAGATTTATTGAGCGGCCCTACGATGTCCATGAATACTTTTTCGAATGGTTTCGAAGCAGTAGTTGTTATCACCATAGGTTCCTTGATGGTCCGGTTTGGAGTTTTGTTGATTTGACATACAGGACATTTCTTTATGTATTCCCGGATTTGTGCTCTCATGCCCTGCCATTGGTACTGTTGTGCAATTTTGTTGTATGTACGCGTTACACCTTGATGTCCACCGAGTGGATTTTCATGAAATTCCTTGATGATCTGTAGTTTGTTATCTGCCGTTAACTCATCGCGAGTGTATATCTGAATATACACAGGAGAGTCACGGAAGATATACCTTAATATATTGCGTACGACTTCCCACTTCAGTCCATCTAGGTCGCAGCCTAGACGTGGACAAGCGAGCTGTGTAACTTTATATTTGACACAGATTGACTTGAGGTTCTGAAGACATTGAAATAGAATTTCATAGCTTGCTTTTTGCCAGAAAAATTCTTTTGTGATTATATAAAACACCTGATGATTGTTCACATTGATTGTTGCAATCTCTGTTATTTGGCATTTTTGTCGACGAAGTTCAGTAATTTTTCCAAATCGGTTTCGGAATTCGAATGCAATTCCTTTCCTCGATTTAAAATCTGCTGATACACAATGAGCTAATGATATTCCATCATCCAAGGAAAACAGATCTCCTGTTCGCTCGGCAATGTTCTTCGTAGGACCCAGTTTAGTTTCGTCTGCTTTCAGAAATGCTTGATAACCAGTATCACCTTCGCTCTTCGATTCTGAGTCTGGGTGTTCGTTATCTACTGATTGTAAAGAGGTTCCTTGAGTTTCTGGAGGTTTTGACTGATTATGATGACTCGATGAGGTTTGAGCTCTCGTAGTTACCACTTGAATTGGAAATTGTTTCACACAACTTATCTTCTGAGGATCTGGCTTGACTCCTTCGTCAGTGATTTGATGTCCGAGATAATTAACTTCTTTTCGGAGAAATTCGCACTTTAGTGGTTGAAGTTTGAGATTGTATTGCCGGAGTCTCTGAAAAATCTCTGTGATTTTCTGTGAATGATCATTTAGATCTTTTGCATAGATGATGATATCATCTAGATATACGAATGCTTTGATTCCATTTATACCGATTAAAACTTTATTCATGAGCCTCTGGAAAGTACCTGGAGCTCCCTTCAAACCAAACGGCATTCGTTCAAATTCGAAATGTCCCCGGTCTGTAGAGAACGCCGTTTTGCTACGGTCGGACGGATTCATCGGAATTTGGTGGTAGCCATGGGCTAAATCCAAGGTACTGTAATATTTTGACCTCCCTAATTGATCTAAAATATCCACGATATTTGGAAGTGGGAAAGCATCCCCTATCGTGACCTCATTCAGTCGGCGGAAATCCACGCAGACACGGTATTTAACCTGGCCATTGACGTCAGGTTTCTTCGGGACTACTAGGAGTGGAGCGTTCCAAGGTGATTCACTAGCTGTAATCACACCTTCCCGTTCGAGGGCTTCCATTTGGTCCGTAATTTCTTGTCTATGCCTTTGTGGTAAACGGTAGGGTTTCACGTGAATTGGTGATACCGCTATCCTCATTGCTTCCCGTTTTTGGTTACGGGCAACCTCCGGTGCATATAGCCCCACCGGTAGGCTGGGTGAGCGCTAAGGAGTATCTCACTCGGCAACCTTCCCCTAGACCAAGCATTCGGTCTTTTTAACCATAGGGTTAGCTCCTGCTAACAGCCACTCCGAAACCAAACCGCCGTCGACCGCGCCACGACCAAGGCCGGGCGCGACCGCCGTGTGAGGGCACGTCGTCAATCGCTCGACGCCGCGGGGCCCCCCCACATCCCGAAGTTCCATTTTTGCCCCCGTTGGGAAGGCCCATCAATGGTGAGATGGCCGGGCCGAGCTTCGTCGACTGGGAGTCTCAGCTGTGGTCCTGCCGAGATTAGGATCGTGTATCACGGGCTCACGGTGGGCCCTTACCAGCGGCGATCGCCCTGGCGCGCTGGCCGCGACCCCCGAGTTCAAGGCTCGGTAGCCTTTGCCACGCCTCCCAGAGGCATCACCGAGGTGATCGACTCGCTCTTCGCGGGGTCGCAGTCAAAACCCCCAACACCCTAGTCCCCGAAGGTTTCGGTGTGTCCGCGTCCCGGACGCCGGCCCCGACTGGCCATTTCCCTTTTAGTCGCCTCTTACGACAAGCAGGGAATACTGATGCTGAATTCTGGACGGCCCCAGCAACAGGGCCGAACTCCTCGCCCTTGGCGCATGAGCACGCCCCTGGTCAGGACGCGCTCGAGCGTGCCCCGCCGCTTGTGCCGCTTACACCGTGCGTGCTCATCCAGGGCACCCCCGAGACTTTGCACGTACACCGCCTGGTGTGGCTGCGTCCTGACCTTAGTCCATGTCTGGACACTATCTGTCGGTCCTATTCGTTAACGATTTCTTGGCGAACTTCCTAAGCGCCTCATACGTCCTTCTTGTTTTGAGGAAGGCACCGTTCCTGGGTGGCCAACCCTCTTGTTCCTCAGCCATCACTTTCTTGAGCTCCTGTCTTTGTGTTTCCATTCTCGGGCAGCGGTAGATGACGTGCTGAACTGTCTCCGACCCGTTTCCGCACCCGCAGTTGGGCGAGCTTACTAACTTGAAACCAAACAGTTTAGATCTAAAGTCGCCATGCCCTGTCAGCAACTGGGTCGTGTTGTGGTCCAAGGGCATCGGCAGAAAGTACCACTCCCGCACGCAGGGTATCATACGCTTGGTCCATTCCCCTTTATCAGTCGCTTCATACCTTTCCTGCCATGCGGTGAAGATATTGTCTACGCGTTCGGTGAGCTGTTCCTGGGTGATCTCACCTTCGGCCAGGCGTCTTTGGAGAGCGCTTTTTTCTATCTCCAAGTCAAGGGGTAACACCCCTGCCACAACTGAGAGGCAGTTCGTCGAGGCCGTTCTATATGCCGCGGTCATTGCTAGTAGAGGTGGTCTCTGCATACTGCCCAGTTTTTTAATTGACTTTATCATTTTTGCGCCGCCTGACCATATCTCAGCCGCATAAGTTATCCTCGGCAGGAATACCCCTTTGTATATCGTCCTTGAGGTCATTTGGTTTACGCCCCAGTTTGCCGAGGTGAGAGTCCTTAACCTACTGTAGAGGCTCTTCGATTTTTCAGCCAAGGTCTCAATGTGACACCAGTAGTCTTCTCTTGGATCCAGCACTACTCCAAGATAGCGTACGGTACCTCCGGCTACTATCCTCGGAGCCATTTCATCCGTGCCAAAGCCTACTGTGTATCCTGGCTTCACTCCTCCCTTGATTGACATCACCTGTGTCTTTAGAGGGGAGAAGGATAAGTTGTAGGTGACAGCCCATTTCTTAATCTTGTCAAGGTATTTTTTGGTTCTTGATACCACCGTCTCATGCCTAGCCGCTACTACCAGGAGGGCGATGTCGTCCGCATAGGCAATGACTTTGATATTGTCCTCAGCTGGTAGCGATAAAAGTTCGGACATCGCAACTTTCCAAAGGGTTGGACCTAGCTGAGAGCCCTGAGGGCACCCTCTCGTCAGCTTCTTCTCATGTTTCTTACCTTCCAGCGTCAGTTGCGCCCATCTGTTGTGGAGGTATGACTCAGTGATTCGTAACGTTCTTGGTGAAGCGCCAATTTTTTTAAGTTGTTTCAACAATGGGGTCCAGCTAACGTTATCAAACGCCCCCGTTATGTCGAGAAATGTACCCATGACGTGCCTACTCTTCGACTCGTGGGTCCATCGATACATCGTTTTAATTGCCGTAATGGTCGATTTTCCTTGTACGAAGCCGTGCTGCTCTCCTATGTTGTTCAAGTTTGTCTCTGTTTCCATGTCCCTAATAATGAAGGTCTCTAAAGCCTTACCCAGGACCGGTAGCAGGCTTATTGGTCTATAAGCTCCGGTGGTTGCCGGGTCTTTGTCCCCGCCTTTAGGGATGACTATCACATTCGCTCTTCGCCAACCAGTGGGGAAGTAGCTTTCCTTTAGCGCTTTGCTGTATAGCCCTGTTAGTGATGACCCTATTACCGGCCATGCCTTCCTTATTATCCTGGCGTTTATGCCGTCCAGTCCGGGTGCTTTATTTGGTTTGATACGCCATATCGAGGCCCTGACCTCAGAGAGGGAGGGGGTTTCCACTCGTTCACCTAGCGGCCCGAGGAATTCAACGCTTTCGTCGTCCATCTCGTCTGGGGCAAAGGCATTCAGTAGCAGTTCAGCCGTATCCTCGATTGTTTCGGTATAGGAACCATCCGACCTCCGTAAATTGCCTTGCACGGTATTTGAGGGGGCACCCTTTCTCTTGGCCCACCTGAAGGCCTTGCCCCAGGGGTTCGTGTTGAGGTCTCCTGCCAAGGCTCTCCAAGCAGCCATTTTCGATCTCCTGATTTCCGAGAGGTATCTGTTTCAGTGTTCCCTATACACCTCAGGCTCGCCGGTTCTTTGGCCAAGTCTCCGGGATCTTTCCAGCGTTTTCTTTAGTTCAGTTAGCCTGGGGGACCACCATATTTGCCTGCCTTTATTCTGGTTACGCGGCTTGGTACGCGGGATGCTTATGTCTGCGGCGGACTTTAGGAGCGTTACTAGTCCGTCCGCATGGCTATCAACCGTCCGTTCATCGACGTTCCCAACGTTCATCGTTAGATAGGCTAGCATTTTATTCCAATATGCCATACTTGTATTGTATCTTATGGGACCAGGTTCTGGACGCGTCCTTGCTATCGCGACTTTATAGCTTATCACCCGATGGTCGCTATCTGTTTCGTCGGTTACCATCCAGTCAGTCACTTGGCCCATCATGTTTCTCGTGGCAAGGGTGACATCGATATTGGATGTACCCATACCAGGTCGGTCGTAGGTATTGATCGTACCTCTTCTGTTCACCGTGTGAAGCAGGTAATCTTCCACCAGGTCTTCGACCTGGCGCCCCCTTTCGTTACTCTCGGGGGAGTGCCAAAGAGTTGAGTGGCCATTAACATCGGCCCCGACTATAGTTCTGGCTTCCATATCGAGGATCGGTCGTAGTTGCTCAATGAACACGTTAGTGGCCAGGGAGTACTTAAAGTAGGAAGATACAACTATCATTTTATGTTCGTTTAGCCCCAAACTGGCCGCGACTGTGTAGTCCGTTTTGTACTGTTCGAAACTGAGGGCCTGCACCTCGCTGTTCATTATGATGATGGCGGCTCCGGCCTTATTGCCCGAGTGGATTTGTCGGAAGGTCTCAAATCCAACAACCTTTCCGCGTGCTATCACTGGTTCCTGTAGCAACGCTATATCCGTCTTGTTAGCTCTACAGACCTCAGCTAACTGGTGGCTTGCAATTCTAAGCCGATTGAGGTTATGCTGGATTATGCGGATTGGCTCAGTCATTGCTGGCCAAAGTCCGTGCGCCTGAGCAGGCTTCTCTTAGCCTGACTCTTTGCCTTACACCCTGCGCTTGAAGCCTTATGTGGCCCTTTACAGTTAGCGCATTTAATTAGCTCATTGCTGCACGTGCGAGAATCATGTGCGCCTGCACACCGTCTGCACGTTGGCGCTGTCTGCTCACATATTTTGGCTGTGTGGCCATATTGCTGACAGTTGTAGCACTGCGGTAGACTGCTGTGTAACTTGCATCTGCATCTCGTCATGCCGATGTATAGAGCTTTGTTCTCTATTTTTGCGAGAACGCTTGGTGGAACTTCCACGACCCAATGGACCACATCGCTGTCCCGCGGGCCCAGCTTGTGGAGTGGTCTAGAGTTGCTCATATCCTCTGCGGTTAAGCCAAGTTCCTCGTTCTGCGCTAGCAAACACTCTGTCAGTTCCTCTTGACTGATTCCACCATCGACGTCATGGATTATGACTCGAGGTTTTTTCGGGCCTAATTCTATTATATTGCTGATGTCTCTTATCACTAGTTGGAGTCGTCCGGAATTATTATAAGCGACCGGCCGCTTACGATGGTCTTAGCTTTGGACTTGCTATTCCTCGACCTGACCGCCTGCCAGACTCCTGCCTTCGCGTCTGCCACTGACATATCCTGCGGTATCTCCACGATGAACCTAGATGTCGCTTTGACTTGCCTGCTTTTATTTAGCTGTTCCATCTCGGCCGCCTTCTTTGACTTAGCCGGGGGTGCTTTTGCGTTTTTAGGCGTGGCTTTTGTACTTGCCGGTGTCTTAGCTGCCTTAGCTGCATACGTCGACTGTTGTGTTACAGTTGGGCGTGGTACCGCTGCAGTGGTCTTTAACGCATCTAGTTCTATTTTCAGACTACTGGCTTCAGCGTTCTTTATATCCAGTTTCTCTATGAATATAGTGAGGCTCTGTTGAAGGGCTTCGTCTTTGCCCTCCACCTCCCCAGCGAGTCTGCTGTTTTCGTGAGCTAGGGTCGCGGTTGCCGTTCTTAATTTGTTGATGTTTATGAGCAGTTTTTCTGCCGTTTGTATGCCTATCCTCTTTTTTTCCTTCTCTTGGATTATTGTGTGCTCAATCCATCCAATGAGGTCACTTATTTCGCTCGATTTTTTCGAGCTACGGGATTGCTTGGTCGGTTGACCACCCGGCGAGGTTGGACCTCGCTTTTTGCTGTTTCCAGCGACCATGTCACCACTGGTGCTACCGGTTTGTGACATGTCGGATTCGTCGTCATTGCCGCCTCCCCTTAATCTAAGCGGGGCTGAGTAGCAGTGTCTGTTAGTACTGTCCAAGTCTTTATATTATGAGTGTTCCGTGTCCATAGTCAAGCTTGCATTTCCGGAGCTACTGATTACGACCTGTGTGGCGAGCTCACCCACACCTGCCGGGCCTGAGGTTTCCTGGGCCTCTGTGCCGGTACCATCATCTTTTTTTATTTGTGTTTTCATGTTGTTAGTGTTTCGGGGGGCTGCCCCGGTAGCCCTACACACTCTGGCCGCCGGCGGGCTAATTCGGCGGTTGCATTTTTCCGTGCCAGGGGTTAGAAGTCCGGAGCCGGCCTACTCCGGACAGTTTTTTGAACGCCTCTTAGCGCCGGGCGTAAGCCCGGTCGGGCGGAGTCACCACGACAAGGTGGGCGATCGTCGACCCCGATCACATGGATACAATGTATTGTAAATTAGTCACTTTGTTAGTCACAATTAGTCAATGTGCATGTGTATAGTAGGTAGCTGGTATTTGTAATTTTGTACTGCATGACTCATATATATATATAGTCATAGAACATCCATAATAGTATAAGTATATATTATTATGTATAATTCAGATAGAATCTAAATAATTGTTTTTTTTTCTACTGGTTTTATTGATGCCATTTCAGAAGTTCTAATTGCTGATGAAAGTTGGTGGGATGTCATTTAACACTGCGATTAAGAAAACAATAAAATTGACTGTTGTTTTGAAAAGGAATTGCTATCAAAATTTAGCTATAAGGGGAAAACAAAAGAAAAATGTATTGGTCTCCAGGTATTCTCAGTTATCTATGGTAACATTACTATCATTTATAAGAATACATTATAAGATTTATATTATATCATAATTTTATTAGATTCCTTGTTAAGTTTTCGCCGAAGTCCTGAAGATGAAACTAAATTTCATTCTGTTGCTGACAACTACATAAGACATGCGCCTCTTTATAACTGCAGTGGTAAGGGAGGAACAAAAAAATTATAATTTCTTTAAATGTTTTTGTTACAACTATTATGTCAAGTATATGAACAGTTTTATTTTTCAATTTTATATTTGTATTCAGTTCCTACTATTGTGAGAAGATTAATTTTTTTATTTAATATTAAATGTAAAAGAAATAATGTTATTATGTATTGTTAAAATAAATAATACAATGTTATTTATGTCATATTTTAATACTTATCATCTATAATTAGATTATACTAGTGTGCTGTTAGTTTTAATATTAGAGTAAATTGACCTATAATCAAACCTCTAGGTAAGAACATTCTATGTGCTCAAGTGTAGGTGTTTATTAAATATTTTAATTTTCAAGTGAGATATGGGTATTTTTAATTTGTGATATTTCACATACTTGTATCTATTATACATTCAAATAAAAATATCAAAAATTCATTGACGTTTGAGATTCTTACTTAAAATTTTGATGATACGCAATTTTCTCTAATTTAAAAACAAACAGCACACTATTGAAACTATATAGTGAACGGAAATGTACTGCCGTCCGTTGGTAATAACAGGTAAAACGGAGACAACAAACGCGCATGGCTAAATATATATATAGTATACTCTTATAATTATAAGCAGGCCTGTGTTTATGGTAGGGCCAGGGTAAATCATAGACCCTCATGGTGGAACTTGGAGGGCGGTAAATTTTCATGAACTTTTTTTTTATAATTATGTAAAATAGTTTTTCTTATATTATGTATATTGTGATTTGGTGGAGATTTATTCACGTTAGGTAACTAAAGTGAATTGGTTCCTTTATTAAAATACAATAGTAATGTTTTATAATTTTATATAAGTATTTATAATTTTTATTTTTAACACTAGACATCCTCCTCCATGCTACCAAAAAGAAGGGCGGAACTTCGTAAGTGCGCCCGGGGCTCATAATTTCTAAATACGAGCCCGGGGCGTATAGCTATAGTTAATTAATACACTGTTGCACGGTGTTGAACCAGATCTACACACATACAGTACAATCAGTGCATGGTGTTTTAACCGTCAAATGCCCAATAAGTACACGGTGAAATATTAACACAGTTGCACCGTGCTACCCATGTAAAAATTTGGTATTCAAAATGGCTTAAAACACAGTGCAGGGACAGTAAATTCACCGTGTTCCACACAATTGATTTATTGATGATTTGACACAATCATAGCACAGTAATTGCTACCCGAGTATGTTTTTGTAGACGTTTCGTACGAAAAGTTTCGAGAATACGACATTTTGAAACATTACGCCAAAATGGCGGATTTCCTACATTTTGCTCGTTCGTTTTCGTTGCGTAGTTTTCGAGAATAGTCTCCCACTAGCCACGCAATTGAACGGGGTAAATCAGCAGCATAAAGTGGATTACACACTAGGCGATTCGAACGCGACCGAACGCGCGTCTCATTTACTTGTGTGAATAAGCCCATATAAAAGTATATGTTTGATTTTGGGCGATTAATCGCGACGTTCCAAACGCGCGTTCGAATCGCCTAGGTAGTGTGTAATGCACTTTAATGTACCTACCTAACTAAATTAACACTTTACACTTACCCACGGAGAACTCGTATTCCACTTCCATTATGATTTATGAGTTATGAAATCAGATAAATCGACAAACCTCAAACAGCCGACACGACACAGTAAAACACGTTACAAAATATGAAACAGCGGCTGTAAGGACGTATCAGAGTAAATACTAGCTGCAGAGTGCTCACGCAAAGGCGAACTATCTATTATCAATTATTATCATTAGTCATTTGTCCCGTTACGACATAATATAACAATATGGAAGCGAAAATCGATCAGGGGAATACTGATTGGGGTCTTGGGTTAGGTTGATCTGAAGTCTGAACCTACGAAAAACATGATAACGGTTCCATGACTGTGGCGGGATACGAGTAGGTAGCGATCGTCGGTCAGTTGTGCGAAAGTGCGCGTAGCGCGTCTGCTTGGCGTACAGACTGCGCAACGATAACAGACCTGCGACCTGGCGGCGTATTTTACGGACCGTAACTGAGTTCAGCCAAACGGGTATGCACATCACCCAATGCGCACGCTCGTGGCAAATCTGTCAATTAGATATTAGAATTTGACTTGTGTCAAGAAGTCTAAAATTATTAACAAACAGTTTACCTATATATTTTTTTTTAATTGTACACAAAATGTATTTAATACCAGGCCCACACACCGCCGATGTAAGACCTTAGACCTGCGGTGGATCTGGCGTTAAAATAACGCGATGGCGTAAATTGATGCATAACCGATATACGGCGGTCTTACAATATATAAAATATAATAATAATAGTACAAGGGCCGTGGGCGGTATGGTCATATTTTGCTTGCCCAGAGCTGGGTCAGCGGCGTGGCCTGGGGTGGGAGTAGGTAGTATTAATTGTGTAGGTAGGTACCTATTATTTTAACTAAAAACTACGTTGATGTAACATGAAAATTATGTAGACACGACATAATCGAAATTAATAGAAGACGTGTAGCAAGCTGTGACTATACGCAGGGATGGGCATATTATCAAAAAAAAAAGTAATTAATTACAAATTACAAATTACTCAAAATACCAGTATTTAATTACAAATTAATAATTACATGATTGTAGAATATTTAATTACAAATTACAAATGACATAATTGAATTACTTAAAATTACCAATTACATTTAAAAATTATTTATATAAAAAAGTGTATAAATTAAATCAAAAAAAGGTGGGTAAGTGGATGTACAGTAGGTTACAAGTGGGTCACTGTATAATGGATGCTATTAAATTTGAATTCAATGATACTATATCATTGTATAAGAAAAACGATTCTGAGCGAAGACGGTATGTCAGTCTAGGTTTAAGACAAATTATTATATAGGTACATATCGATGATATTAAAAAAAAATTGACCTATAAGAAATTCCAAATTAATCATATCACATTATCACAATATCCATTAGGTAGGTACTTATAACACGTTATACATCAACATCAATAACAAACCCTGATACAATCATAGATATATAATAGTACACTTTGAAAGTTTCAAGTAGGTACCCACGAATAATATGATATAATCACAACAAAATAACTAGGTTTTCAGAAAATATATGAAGAAAAAGATTTTCTCAGATCTACTATAGATGTACTGCGGCATACGGGTATATTGTAATAATTATAATTAATAAATACTAATAACTAATAATATGAAAGATATCAATCAAAAGTGTACAATTCTCAAAAACATACTGTAAAATATTTTCGGCATAAATAGGTTATTTTAAAGTTAAAACTAGTTGGGTTATGCTCATGTATATTTATATTTCAAATGTTCATATATATAAACATTCAATATTGTCAGTAGACAAAATAGTCATAGCCCACATGGGTTCACTTTTCGTTCTCGGCTCTCTCAGCACTCAAGATTTACAATACTGTGTTATTAATAAATCATAAGATTGTATTTGTTTTGGCATTTTCAGTTTTGCATGCTTTTCGTACCTAATACATAATTTTATTAATGCAGTACCTATGTATAGAAAAGCTATTGGCTATTTCCTGTGTTCAATTATATTTATGATTTTTATTTTTTTAAACCATATTACTGGGTATTTATATAGATATTATAAAAAAAAAACTCAACTTAACTTAAGTTAATAAGTTAATTGAAAATGTTCATATAACTTTTAACTTAACTGAGTTAAATGCAAATTAGGTTAACTGTTAACTTTGAACCTTTTAAAATGTTTTAAATTAATTTAACTTAATTCAGTTAAAAATTATCATTGACTTGCTAATGCTTGGTAATAATACTCTATCCTGTCCGAGGATAAACAAATTTACCTTAATCATATTTGTATAAAGAAAATTAGATACCTAACATAAAAATAATTCAAGAAAGTACTTATAGTCATAACTTTTTTTTTTTTTTTTTTTTTTTCTGTTTGAACCGACGGCGTCGCGGGAACTGCTTTCGCATTACTTCCGCGACGCCGCCATCGTTTATTTGGATAAATAAAACAAATAATATCTATACATACGTGGGGGGGGTAGACGGGACAGTTCCCCGACTTACCCCCCCTCTATACATGAAATACAACATAAATTTTGCATTTTACATTTAACATTTTTCGGCAGTTGTTGAACGTTCACCTATTGTCGGGCCGACCGGAGTCCGCCACCCTTGATATCCCGTGCGTGCCCGTCTTAGC